TGCAGCCCCCGAACACCCCGCTTTGACCCTTTGGGAAAACCCAAATTTTTTGGAAAAAAATTTTAAATTTCAAAGTGCCCCTCAAAAACATCAAAAGTGCAAAGAAAAGTAGTGCCCCCCAAACAGGCTGGGAAAAAAAATTTTGGCCAGCCCCAGGGAGCAGGGGCGAAAAATTTCCTCTTGCCCCGGGAAAAAGGAGTTTTTTGGGTGGGCAAAGCGTTGTTGGGTTGGTTAGAAATGCCTGGAAAAGGGCAAACCCCGGGCCGATAAGGGGCCTAAAAGACGGGTGCAGAAAGACCGCAACAACAGTTTAAAAAGGGTGGGGGGCGTGTCCTGGGAAAGGGGGATGGGGAAGGAATCCAAAGGGCGGAAGGGGGACACTTCAGCCGGAAATGGGGGATTAAATGGAAAAAGCCCCTTTTCCCCTAAAACCTGGACAGTGTTTAAAAACTGAAAGTGTTTGAAAACAGCGATAACCTTAAATTTTCAGCTCTGTAAAGCATGCCTGGGGAAAAAAACATCAGAGATGCAATTTAAAAATTTCCCTTTGTTTCTCCAAATACAGAAGCAACCCCCCCAGGAAAAACGTCGCCAAACACTCCACAACCTTTTCCCCCCTCACCTAGTAGGGGCCACATTAACTTCCCCTCCATTTAAAAAACATTTATGCCCATCAACAGGGAAATTTTTGGGAAAAAATATTATTGTGTAACCCGTGCTTTTGACCCTGGTAGGGGTTTTTTACCGGTTTTTATTTAATATAAAATCTTTATATCCCTGATATTGTTTTTAAATATGACCTCACTACAACCAATACAGTTACATTATTTTTTCCCTTTTATGTTTCAAATTTTAAAAAATTTGTTTGTCATTTTTTTGGGGGGATTTAAATTTTATTGAAAAGGGAAAAATTTTTTTATTATATGCCATTCTCAAAAAAAGTAACAATCTTAAAATGACAGTCCCGCTGAAAAGAAAATGGGGGCCCCTTTTGTAAATTTTTTGGGGGCCAATAAACCTTTTGAGAAGAAAATAAAAATACTTTCAAAGAAAAAAATAATTAGATTTTCGAGGGCCCTTTGATTTAAATTTCCCCTTTTCCATCCCACTTTTATAAATGCATAAAAAGGGTATTTTTTTTGTAAAGGTACACAAATTTAAAAAGAGGGAATTTGGGGTGTTAAAAGGGGTGCTTGCGTGCACACGCCAAACAAAATGCTTAATTTTTAGTAATCTTTCAAAGTAAAAATTTTTAAGTACTGAACTTATCTATTTATTTTTTTTAATTTCCCTTTAATTTTCTTTTAAATTTTCTTTTTAAAATTTAGAATGTTACATAATAAATTTTTTATCGGGTTTGGGGCCCCCATTTTAGAGGGTTTTTTTCCCAAATATTGCTTTCCCTTTTTTTTTCAAAAATCACGAAAAAAGATTTTGGAAATCGAAAGACAAAAATTTTTAAAAAAATCCTTTGGGTTTGTTTTTAATCAAGGGAAATGTTTAAATCCCAAAAAAAAAGGGGGAGTGAAAAAAAACTAATATTAAAAACATTCACAAGTTTGTTGGTAATTTAAAGTAAGGTGAATTTAGAAGGCGTGAATTTTAAGGGTTTGGGTTACAGAAATAATTTTTTTGGTAAATTTTTTCTAAATTTAAATTTTTTTTTTAGTTTTGAGCTTTTGGGGGAAAAATAATAAATCTTGAAAAAATGGAGACATTTTAAACAAATTTTTACAAAAAAAATGGGCACACAAAAAAAAGTTAGTAAGAAAATATATTAAAATTTTAAATAAATGGGAACTGAATGCCCCACAGGCTGATTTCGCTAGTGAAAAAAAAGTATTTCAGCTTGAGGCAAGGTATGATTTTTTATTTGGTTTTGGGGAAAAAAATGCCTTTCATTTTGTGTAAGTTTAATAAAAAACATAGTACATCCTATTAAATGAGCCCCTTCCTCTGAATTTTTGTATTGGGAAAGACTCTACTCTAAAAAAAATATAAAAAAATGATGAGTAAGAAGGTTTCTGATGTGTTATTTTTGGGGGAAAATTTCCCAAAAATATGTTGGGGTTTAAAAGGGCACAAGTGCAACTAAGCGACATTTTTTTGTGGCAAGTTTTGCTTCCAGGGGCTTGTTAAGGGTATTACAAAAAACATAGACACAGAGGGTATTTATAGGCTTGGTGAGGTGTAGATTGTAATTTCTTTGGGAGTAGTAAAGAATACTGTGGTGAAAAAATTTGACTTGTAAAATGAGTAAAAAAGGGTTTAAAAAGGTATGTGTACATAAAAAAAAGGGTGGACAAAATTTTTTTGTTAGTGGTTGGGGTTTATAAAGCTCCTGGAGAACCAAAAAGTTGCCCCAAAAAATGTTTAATTAGTTGCATTGTGCTTTTAAACCGAAGGGTTTCTGATGAAAATAGGTTATAAAGAAAAAGGGGGGGTCAGTTTCTAAAAATTTTATTTTGGGGGCTTACGTGCATGATTTATGCAATCAGGTTTAATCCAAGAGGGGGTAGATCCCCTTCCTTTGGGTCGAGAGCCCCTACTAAAGCTGAGGCTCCCCCCTTTAAGGAGTTTCCAATCCCGTTTCGAAGTCATCCTGAATATTAGTGCTATTTCCACCCCTTCAAGGTGGGTTTTTGAAAATTGGGGAAGGGTTATGATTAAAAGGGGAAAATAAGCAACCTTCCACTTTCCCTTTAAACAAATCAAATTTCCCCCCATTTCCCGGGTGCTGTTACTTTTCAAAGGCTCTTTTTTGATAGATTTGGCCCGTTTTGTACGAAAAGCCAATTTTCAAAGCATAGGGCCCCAAAAGGTTTTTGGGGCTTTTTTAAAATTTTTTTTTTATTTTTATTTCATGGGGAAGCAATAAAAATTTTTCATTCAGTGCCCCGGGGAAAAAGGGGGGGTAAATTTTCCATTTATATGATTTTTGTGTTTGTACATAATTTTACTTTAATCCCCTATTTAAAGGGTTAAAAAATACCCGACCCGTTGGTTTTACCCGGTAGAAGGAATTTTGAAAACCCTGCAGAAAATAGTTTTAAACTAATATAACAACCACCCCTTTAAGAAAGTTCCTTGGATTTTTTGCATAAGGGAAATTTGGGCCCCATTACTGCCTCCCCTTTTTTTCCCAAACAAGTTTTTCCCCCCATGGTTTAGCACTTTCCCCTAAATATAAAACCCGAAAAATGGCAATGAGTTTTTGCTCCAAACAAATTTTTGATGTTTTTTCCCTTTTGGGAAAACCCCATTTAATGCTCCCTTTTCCCTTTAAAGGGACGTATGATCCATAAGGGTTTTTTGGGTCTCCCCAAAAGACTAAGTTTTCCCTTTAAAAGGGGTCAATGGTCCTGGGTCTTGATCAAAAATATCTGAGTACCCTTCCTAAAAGGATATAATTAAATATTGTAGTAAATGTTTTTGAAAAATTTCAGTACTATAAGTTTAAGAAAAAATTGTATTAAGTATTTCCCAATTTTTTTATTTTAAAAAAAATCTTGATTTTTAAAAACATTTTTAAAAAAAGATGCTGTAAACAGTTAAACTTCAAAAAAAATTGGGGTGGGTTTTTTTTTAAAACTTTCTCACATTTACATTTTTCTTTAAAAAAAGCTAAAGGGCACTGGGAAAGGTCCCACTGCTTTGCAATCTCTTTTAAAGGGGTTTAAAAATGTCTATAAAACCCGTGTTGTGGGAAGGTTCAATTACGTGGGATGCGCAAAAAATTTTAAAATTTAAAAATTTTTTATTTAAACACTTTTTGTGATTAAAAATTTTTTCCCAAAATGAGACTAAACCCAACGGGGAAAAACAGTAGTTCCAAAAATCAAACTCCCGCATGCCAAAAAAAAAAAAAAAAAACGATTTCATAAAGTATTCACTTTTTAAGGGTTTTCGTGGTGCTGTTTTGGCCCTTTGGTTTTTGCCCCTTTTATTTTTTTTAATAAAAATAATAAGGGTTTTCAGTTTTTAGTTATAAAAAAAAGTGAGGGAAAGACACTTTTCTTTTAGAGTACCTTTAAAAAAAACCACATTAGGGGTTTCATCCTAATTTAAATAGTTTCTGTAGAAAATTTTTTTTATGGTACGTTTCCTACGTTAATTCCCACCCGTAAAATTTTTCCCTTCTTAATGATCAAAATATATTAATGTTAATTTTTTATAAATACAACTTTTACATGTATGGAATCATTTTTAATGGTAAAAATTTCTGGCAAGATGAACAAGCCAAAGTGCAACACTTTGGGGAGACTTCATCAAAAAAAAAAGTGATTTTAAAAATGGGGTTTGGGAGGGATTGGGGGAGGTAAAAATTTAAAAGTGATCAGTCCAAAAAAACCTTTAAAAGTAAGGGGGTTTAGGTGATCATTGCCCTTTGCCTTAAGTAGATCAGCTCCCTCTTCCCGGATCAGGAAGTTCCCCAAGGATAATGGATTGACCACCCCCAAAAATACTTTCAGGCTGAAAAGGAAAAAATTGCACATCTTCACTCTCCACTGCTGCGATGTCTTTAAAAATTTTTGTTACCCTTTTCATTCAACTGAAGCTTAATGTATAGGCAAAAGATTTTGGAAATAGATTCCCAAAATGTTGCACATGTTTTATTCATCATGTATGACTTAATTTTAAATTAATTACCGTGTTTTTTTTCCCAAAACGTCCGCTCTCCCCCCCCCCCCAGGCCCGGGTTTACCCAAAAAAAATTTTAATCATTCATGCATAATCATTTTCTTTGCGAGGTCCCCGACATGACAAAATTTGATTCCCCAAAAAAAAAGTATTAAACCCCCCCCTTTAAAGTGGGAGGACTGTACTTCCCACCTCCCTTTCCCTGAATCCCCTTTACAAAAAATTACCCCGCTCACCCCTTCCCAAAATTAAGGGCCAAAAACCATTTTTCTCCATTCCCCCCAGCACCCTTTAAAAACAAAAACCCTTTTTCCCCCTTCCCTCCTTTCCCAACCCAAACCCCACCCCTCCTCCCCCTTCAGAACAGATTTACACACCCTTCAAGTCATCCTCAGCGCTGTATAGCCCTTGTGGCTTAGCGCTTCTTTTTGATTATAATAATAATAATAATTCAAGTCATCCTATTTTGCTCCATCCTCTCTTAATGACCAAACCACCTCAACAATCCCTCTTCAGCCCTCTGAATAATACCTTTAGTAATTCAACACCTAATTTCCACACTACGAATTCTCTGCGTAATATTTGCACCACACATTGCCCTTAGACACGCCTCCTCCTCACTGCAGCATTTACAAGCCATGCTTCACACCCATATAAGTGTGTTGGTATAACTATGCTCTCAGACATTACCCTCTGCTTCCATGGATAATGTCTCCACAGACTCCTCAGTGCACCCCTCACCTTTTTCTCCTCATCAATTCCGTGATTCACCTCATCCTTTATAGACCCATCTGCTGACATGTCCACTCCCAAATATCTGAATACATTCACCTCCTCCATACTCCTTCCCTCCAATCTGATATCCAATCTTTCATTACCTAAATTTTTGTTTCCTTGTCACCTTACTCTTTCTTATATTCACTTTTAATTTCCTTCTTTTACACACCCTACCAAACTCGTCCACCAACCTCTGCAACTTCTCTTCAGAATCTCCCAAAAGCATAGTGTCATTAGCAAAGAGTAACTGTGACAACTCCTATTTTGTGTTAGGTTATCTTTTAACCCCATGCCTCTTGCCAACACCTGAGCATTCACTTCTCTTACAACCCCATCTATAAATATATTAAACAACCATGGTGACATCACACATCCTTGTCTAAGGCCTACTTTTACTGGGAAATAATCTCCCTCTCTCCTACATACTCTAACCTGAGCCTCACTATCCTCATAAAAACTCTTCACTGCTTTCAGTAACATTTGCAACACCTGCCCCACTATCCACCCTATCATATGCCTTTTCCAAATCTAAAATGCCATAAAAACCTCATTTCCTTTATCTTAACACTGTTCATCTATATTTTTCATTGTAAACACTTGGTCTACACATCCCTACCCTTCCTAAAGCCTCCTTGTTCATCTGCTATCTTGCTCTCCGTCTTACTCTTCTTTCAAAATTACTACACACTTTACCAGGTATACTCACAGGCTTATTCTCCTATAATTTTTACACTCTCTTTTGTCCCCTTTGTCTTTATACAAAGGAACTATGCATGCTCTTTGCCAATCCCTAGGAACCTTACCCTCTTCCATACATTTATTGAATAAAAGAAACAAACCAGTTCAAAACTATATCCTCCCCTGCTTTTAACATTTGTCTTTATCCCATCAAACCCAGCTGCTTTACCCCAGTTCATTCTACCCACTACCTCACATACTTCCCCCCCACTCACAACTGGCTCTTCCTCATTCCTACAAGATGTTATTCCTCCCTGCCCCATACATGAAATTACAGCTTCCCTATCCTCAGCAACATTTAACAATTTCTCAAAATATTCCATCTTCCCAATACCTCTAACTCTCCTCTCCTATTTTTAATTGTCAAATCCATTTGTTCTTTAGGCTTTCTGAACTTCACTCTAAAACTATTCCATACACTTAATTTAATCAATATTTTGGGTCGTGGAGAAAATGCAAACCTGTAGAAGTCGTACTGCACCTGGGAAATGGGAGGTATACACGCTCAATTCAAGGAATTGGAGCACAGATGTAATTCCTTAGATCAAGAGACCCTCACCAGCATCAAGGAACTTCCCTTGAGGGAAATAATCTTTGGAAGGGGAGTCACTTTAGATGACACCCTTTTTATTTCTTGTCATTAACTAGCATTCTGATCCAAAAGCAAAGTGCTCAAAACAGTACCAATTCTGTATGCATACTTTACCAGTATCATCCTATGTATTTAAAAACATTATCTGATCATTATGCAAGTGAAAGCAATCACTCATTAAGAAAACTGAGGGGGAAGGGTCCTAATGTTTTTATTTTGGACACTATTCAAAATTTTTATGTGAACAGTCGTTAGGCAGGTGGCTACTGCATTTCTTTAAACCTTCATGAGCTGTATATCATAGTGTATGACAAGTGAATAGGAAATGTATCTGATCAGCACATGTACGTGCTGTGATAGTTATTGTATACAAATACAATCTTTTACAAGTCGGGTAAGTGTTAGACAATATGAAATCGAATTACAATACAAGACATTAATTAAATTCAGTTGGCATACTATTTACATAATGTCCTATAAATCAGAGCTACCAAATCTACATGGAAGTTCAATGGAATAATTGGGAGATAAAATATTTCATCTATAATAATCATGACATTAAGACAATTTACTTTTGAATTCAGATATTTAGATACCTTTCTTCCTATGTGGTTAAATTTTTTATTGATGAGCTTATCTAAATTCTAAATGATGCTCCTGAACTGTTGATATGTTTCATTCGGAGATAAACATCTGTTCCAATTCCCTGCATGGTCTGAATTTCTAGACTACCACCCATGTACTCTGCATATGCTCTTGAAGTTGGCAGTCCAAATCCAAATCTGTATAAGATAACCATAAGCATTCAGTCATAAATACAGATGGGCAATGAAGGAAGTATGAACTTAAATATTTACTCGAGCAAGAATATTATTACACACAAAAAATATACTAACACTTAAGTTACTAACCCATACATAGGCCCTCCCAGCAGGTTGGGGTTAACAGCTCCATCATGTTGGAAAAAACGCCTTCTTGTTGCTCTGCCCCCAAAATCACTGCTGTGGTTAGCTGTAGTGAAATTGTAATCTGAAGCTCTAACTTTGAGGTGATGAGGGATGCCACCACCACGATCACTGATCCTGTATAACCATATTTATTACCATCTGATACAAAACATAGCATAAAAATTGTATGAAAAGTTTATAAGAACTCTGCATATATACATCAGTCTACTACTGTACACAGACACCTCGTGAAAAAATGCGAAGAACTGCTGTGAGAGGACTGTCAGGTTACAATGTCAGTTCCCCATATCTTAGCCAATTAACTGTGGCATACCCAGAAAAAAAAAATTGTGTGGGGGACAGGAAAGATTTTGAAAAAAAAAAAAAAATTTATAGAATGAAAGGGTACATTTTTTTGTATAAATTCCTGACATTGTCAGCACTTTACTGTTGGGCTTCCCAAAATTAAAATATGTTATATATCCTTTAGAGATACAGCAGGGCCCCACTTATTCGGCAGGTTAGGTTCCAGGCTATTGCCGGAAAGCAGACATCGCCAAAAAGCAGAACGCCATTTTTTCTACTTATAAATGCATATAAATGCCAGGTAACAAGTTTACACGAACATATATTATGTTAGCAATAGAATTAGGCATTAAAAACAATAAAAAGTAAAATACACAGCACACCCATTACTTACCTTAAAATATTTGTAGTCTTAATGTAGGGTGAGAGGTGAGTTAATTTGTTGGAAGTCAGGTTTGGGAAGTATGGAATCCAGCCAGGGAAGCTCTCCCTACCCCACCCACACGTAATGTACTACGATATTTAATTAAGGCTCCCCAGAGCGATACAATAATGTACTACGATATTTAATTAAAGCTCCCCAGAGTGATAATATATATGTACAGTACATTCATTAACTTAAAATATTTGTAGTCTTAACCCCTTCAGGGTCCAAGGCCCAAATCTGAAGTGGTGCCCCAGTGTCCAAGAATTTTCAGAAAAAAAATTTATTTTTTCTTATGAAATGGTAGAGAATCTTTTTGTGAAGCTAATAAAACAAAAAGTACGAAATTTGATGGAAAATTGACGAAATTATGCTCTCGCGAATTTTGATGTGTCAGTGATATTTACGAATCGGCGATTTTGCCGACTTTGACTCCCATTTTAGGCCAACTACATTATTCCAGTCAACCAAATTCTTAGCTATTTCACTAGTATTACTTCTATTCTATCGATTGAGCACAAGAAATCGCCAAGTCAACTCTTTCAACTACAAATTAAAGTGATCGGAAATTGTTAATTTGGCCAATTTAACACAAAATTCAAAATATTCCAATTTCAAAATAGGGTCCAGAATAAACACTGTAGGTATTCCTGGAACTAAACTAACATTTCCTCTGTTCATTAGTTATGTTTTGAGGCTTTACAAATAAATTCCATTTTGATTTTTTATTCACACCAAAAAATAGAAGATTTACTGTTAAGCAATACTGTAATAACTGTATAAATATCATCACCATATTTGTGAATGCATATTAGACCCACCAGCTGGCATGTATTATGTGTGAGGTCGTTTGTTTACTCTTGAATATCGGCAAAAATGTAACATTTCTGCTACTTTGAGCTCAGTTTCAAGCCATTTCCAGTGCTAAAACCAATCAAAATCATCTCTATTTCTGTAATATGTCTTCCATTCTATCAAATGAGACCAAGAAATCGCAAATACAACTATAAAAAACATACGAAAAAACACTGCAAAGTCGCTGTTTTAATAAAAAAATCATTTCAGTTTTTTTTTCTCATTATACACAGTGTGCTGCAGGATCTGTTTTATGTGGTGCACACATATCACATAGATGTATTCTCTCATATCTAGGCCCAAATGTACCACTCACAGTGTATCAGAGTGAGCTGAGCTCATGACGTAGATCTACGGTTTGGACCCTGAACGTAAAGCCGTAGATCTACGGGACGGACCCTGAAAGGGTTAATGTAGGGTGAGAGGCGAGTTTTATTTGTAGGAAGTCAGGTCTGGGAAGTATGGAATCCAGCCAGGGCAGCCCTCTCCACCCCACCCACATGTAATGTAAACAAACCAGACGAAGGCGTCTGGTTTTCGTCACTTTACATTGTGTATAAGTTGTCTCCACGTTGATAAAGTAGAATAAGTAAAGAGAAACACTCGAATTCTCATGTAACATTATTTTTAGAAGAAATGACTCCTTGAGTGAAGGCATACTTAGGTACAGGTACACATACATATAATTATGTTATAATAATAATGTAGGTATGTAGTTCGCCTGGGCTACATACCTATACCTACCTACATAGCTACACGATATTTAATGGGGCCCAGAGCCATATTATTACCAATGACATACCACGTTCACTGAGTTTAATCGTTTCTAACAACTACCTTTAGATGCCATCATAAACACATGAAGTAATAAATAATTCAAGCAGAGAATTGTTAAACAATTAAGGGGAGTGATGTAATGTTTTCCCTCTGCCTGGCTACTACACCTCCATAGTATATAAACATAAAATGTTTATATGCTATGTAATGTGTTTCTTATATAATTTTGAAGAAAATATCATAGATGAATTAATGAAAATGTCTATATTGACGTAAAATAAAGACATTTAATGTGCCCAAGGGTGATTATTAGTATTATGTAATGTTTTTCTTCCACCCAGCAACAACCCCTCCATAGCATATAAACAGCATGTTTATATGCTATGTAACATGTTTCTTATATAATTTTGAAGAAAATATCATAGATGGATTAATGAAAATGTCTATATTAATGTAAAATATGATATTTAATGTGCCCAAGGGTGAGTGTTAGTATTATTAGTATACATAATACTAATAATACTAACACTCACCCTTGGGCACATTAACCCTTTCAGGGTCCGTCCCGTAGATCTACGGCTTTACGTTCAGGGTCCAAACCGTAGATCTACGTCATGAGCTCAGCTCACTCTGATAAACTGTGAGTGGTACATTTGGGCCTAGATATGAGAGAATACATCTATGTGGTATGTGTGCACCACATAAAACAAATCCTGCAGCACACTGTGTATAATGAGAGAAAAAACTGAGACCATGATTTTCAATTAAAACAGCGACTTTGCATTGTTTTTTCATATGTTTTTTATAGTTGTATTTGTGATTTCTTGGTCTCATTTGATAGAATGGAAGACATATTACAGAAATAGAGATAATTTTGATTGGTTTTAGCACTGGAAATGGCTTGAAACTGAGCTCAAAGTGGCGGAAATGTTAAATTTTTGCCGATGTTCAAGAGTAAACAAACGACCTCACACATCTAATACACGCCAGCTGGTGGGTCTAATATACATTCACAAATGTGGTGATGATATTTATACAATTATTACAATATTGCATAACAGTAAATCTTCTATTTTTTGGTGTGAATAAAAATTCATTATGTGAATAAAAAATCAAAATGGAATTTATTTGCAAAGCCTCAAAACATAACTAATGAACAGAGGAAATGTTAGTTTAGTGCCAGGAATACCTACATTGTTTATTCTGGACCCTATTTTGAAATTGAATATTTTGAATTTTGTGTTAAATTGGCCAAATTACCAATTTCCAATCACTTTATTTTGTAGTTGAAACAGTTGACTTGGCGATTTCTTGTGCTCAATCGATAGAATAGAAGTAATACTAGTGAAATAGCTAAGAATTTGGTCGACTGGAATAATGTAATTGGCCTAAAATGGGAGTCAAAGTCGGCAAAAATCACCGATTTGTAAATATCGCTGACACATCAAAATTCACAAGAGCATAATTTCGTCAATTTTCCATCAAATTTCGTACTTTTTGTTTTATTACATTCAAAAAAAGATTCTCTACCATTTCATAAGAAAAAATTTTTTTTTTTTTTTTTTTTTTTTTTTAATTCTTGGACACTGGGGCACCACTTCAGATTTTGGCCTTGGATCCTGAAAGGGTTAAATGTCTTATTTTATGTCAATATAGACATCTTCATTAATCCATCTATATTTTCTTCAAAATTATATAAGAAACATGTTACATAGCATATAAACATGCTGTTTATATGCTATGGAGGTGTGGTTGCCGAGTGGAGGGAAAACATTACATAAATGTTTTCCCTCCACTCAGCAACCACACCTCCCTAGCATATAAACAGCATGTTTATATGCTATGTAACGCGTTTTTTATATAGTTTTGAAGAAAATATCAGCGCTGCAATAGCCCTTGTGGCTTAGCACTTCTTTTTTTTTTATAATAATAATAATAATAATAGTAATAATGAAGAAAATATCATAGATGAATTAATGAAAATGTCTATACTGACATAAGCTGTATAGCCCTTGTGGCTTAGCGCTTCTTTTTGATTATAATAATAATAATAATATACTGACATAAAATTAGACATTTAATATGCCCAAGAGTGATTATTACATAATAGAGATATGTGCTCATGAAGAATGTAAACAAAGTGGGTGGAGCATGCTGTATTTGAAAGATCGCTTGCTGTATAGAAAGTTTTGGTCATAATTTGAGATCGCCGTATTAGCGGAACGCCGTAAGGTGAAACACTGAAAAGTGAAGTCCTACTGTAGTCATACCAATAAATTCATAAGAAGATATGCTCCCAGAGGTCCCATGGCAGTGAAAAACAACACGAAGTTCAATGGTGATAAGATCAAGCTGCTTAGGTATCGAAAGAATGAAGAATTCAAAAGGGACACCTCTTCAAGGGGGGCTCCTTGGCGTGGTGAAGAGGCTCTTGGTCTGAGGAATTAGACCTGTCGGTCTTCTTCCTCAGACCGAACCTAATTACCCCCCCATTCTCCCCTCCCCCCCCTATCCATCCTCCCCCTTATTCCATTCCTCCTCCTCCTCCTCCTCCCCACCCCTCCCTTTTGCCATTCCTCTTTTTGGGATTTCTCCCACAGGCGCGCTAGTTCCTAGGTAGGGGAAAGGACACCGGGGTCCATCCCATTCCGTTGAGGTTCTTGGCGGTGGCGTAGTTTGCCGTGGAATCTGGATCGCCTGGGGATGTCCCGATCCCTCTCCGGTATCCCGGAGTAGCTTTGGGTGTCTTTTGGGCGACGGGTGTATCTCTGGA